GCAGCAACAAGTAATGAAGCCAACACAAATCAATGAGACATTCAAAAGTTTATAAAGTTGGTGAATTGGTGCCTTCTCTTTCTCTCCCTCTCTGTACTGCATTGCAGACTTCACCTCCTTCTGATCTCTGTGGTCTCCTGTTAGACCTCCAGCTTTGATATCAAATGTGTCCTCCATAATTGCCCTGACACAGAAAGCAAAAATTTGCCCTGTATTTATGAATTATTAGCACAGTCACATAACTACGATGCTACCTTGCCTGTTTGTTGCATTTCAAAGTGTTATGTTTTATTGCAGAAAAAAGGTCAATGTGTAATGCTGTGATCTTCTAACGCAGAGCCAGAAATTTAAAAGCTGCAGTTACCATTTCCTAATTGGTCTCAGGAGTTTCCAAAGCAGTTGCAACGACCTGGACATGCCTATTTAGACTACTTCCTCACCTGCAGTATTTGAGCAGCAGTCATTAAAAGCCAGTTTAAATACTATTCTCTCAAAAGCAGCTAATCATCACAGTCTAACTATCGGTAATATCATCGGGAATCTGCAGGTTATTTAAAATAAAACATTGAAGTAAAAGCCCTCATGTTGTGTGAGTTTCCGGTAACAATATGTTTTCATAAATTTCCTAACACACTAGCCTATTATTCCATTGAATTGCATTGTAAATGCAGCACATAAGCTGTCCTCTCAGCTCAACAGTTCAGTGTTGATGCTGCATTTGAGCCACCTCTTGTCATAATACTATGAGAGGAACCTGCTGTTTGCCTCTCCCTGATATGCCTGTCTACCCTTCCTTTAAATGCAGCAATGCCACTTAATTCAGTCACTCCCTATGGGAGCAGCCTCTACGTCCTCACCTCTCACCGGACAAATATATTTCTTCTGAAGACCTTTTTGGTTTTACGGTGACACTTGCATATCGTGATGGCCTCTAGTTTTGATTATTCCCCACGTGGACACAGTCCCACCGTGACTTCGTTCTCTAAACCTTGTACAATTTTAAAGATTTTATCGAGGTTGCCCCCTTAGACTTTTCTTTTCAAGGGAAAAGAGAGTTAACCTGTTCACCTTTCCCTGACAAATGCTAACCTACAGCTCTGATATCATTCTTCTATATCTTTATTTTTACTCCATCTCCTGTGTTTCTGGAGAGAATAGATCAGTTGGCAGGACAGCTGGTTTGTGATGCAGAGTGATGCCAAAAGCATGGGTTCAATCCCTGCACTGGCTGAGGTTACTGTGAAGGTTCTGCCTTCTTAACCTCACCCCTTGCTTGTGGTGACCCACAGTTTAAACCACCACCAGTCATCTCCCTCTAATGAGAAAGTATTCCTATGGACTATAGTGATTTTATTTATTGGCAAGCGCTATACACGGTGCTGCAACAGTAGTGTGCCCTAACTTCTTTTCAGTTCTGTCCCTCACAAATAAGTCGTACATGGTTTGCTTTTGGAGGGCCTTATTACGAACGAATGAATGACTGTTACAAATGAATGACTTTTATTGTCGTGTGTATTTTACAGTGAGATACAATAAAAAAAATTGAAAAGCTTTCATTTGTCGCCATAATCTGGTGCCATTTTGATAGTTTAAGAATACGAGAAAATGAAAATATATAGCTTAAAGACAACCTGTGTCACCACTTCCTTTTTGTGAAATGTGGATTTGTGCTCCCAGATCCCATTGCTTCTTTACCCAATTTAGATTCTTATTTTCTGAGAAATATCATCTTATTTTTCTGTAGAAATTATAACATTAAGCAATTTCCATTTCTTAAACTTATCATGTGCAAGTTGCTCAGCTGAATGTGTGGCATATTAAAATTTTCTTGTATGGTTTCTAAAAGTGAGCAACTTCTGAGCAACCTTCTGTGCACCTTCTGGATTACACCTTAAAGGCAGCATTGACCTTCACAGCATTGGCTCCAAATATCCCAGGACTGGCCCTCCGTACAATGCTTCAGTCTTGGGAGGTGTAGCAAAATCACACACTAACATTCACTGGACCCATCACTGTTGACCTTGATTCCATTTTTGAGTTTGATTTATTGTTGTCACATGTACCGAGATGCAGTGAAAAGTGTTGTTTTATGTGCTAGATAGGCAGATCATCCCTTTTTTATTATCAAGTGTGACTTCTGTTGTTGACGTAGGCACCGTGGTAGGGCGGCTTATTCACCTTTTCACTGTATTTTTCATGTAAAAGCACACGTGACAGTAAATTTCTATTCTATTTTACAAAGTGCATCAGAGTAGCAGAGCAGATTGCAGAATACAGTATTACAGACGCAGCATTCTGGGTAAATTTACAAAACAGCTTCAGTATTTGTTTCAAAATGGTTGCCTCCAGGGCACCAAGCCACTCCGAAGCTTGCTCCCTGTGCAAGGTCACATGGAGAGAAATGCACATTTCCTGTTGATTCTGTGTCATAGTTTATAGTGGGCTGGATTTTCCAAGGAGTGGAAATTGTACGCACGTTGCCAACCCACCCTTCCTTTTTTTTATGGAAGATGGGAGCTCTGCGCTTCTGAAACGAGATTCCGACCTGGGCTCTTTCAGAAAAGCAGAGCCTGATAGTCCTTTCCCGGTGCAGAACTGCCAGAGCAGGGTGAACCATGGCCTTCTTTACACAGCACTCAGTTGTTGCATTCTAAAAGATAAAGGGTCCAGGCAAGCACCTTGGCAGCGAGTATCGAATGGTAAGTACATCATGTAAGTGTAATGTTAGGGCACTGGGAAGGACGGGTACCAGTTGGGTAGGGTGCCAGTGGTAGGATACCAGATGAGTAGGAGTTAAGGTGCTGGGTGAATTGGGGCACCAGAGTTAAAGGTGGAAATGTAAGAAATTCAGTGTTTATCCTAGATTGGGTTGGGTGGGTAAAATTGTGTCTGATGGGGCTGGTGGGGGGGTTCAAGTCTAGTGGCGGCATGTGGTGTGGCACATTTAGTTGATTTGGCTGTGTCGTGCCACATGTTCTGCAGTGGTGGGAGGGTCAGGTTTGGTGTGACAATGGGTGGGGGAAGCGGGGACTGTAAGAATTTAGGGGAGTTATAATGGAGAATGTGATGAATAAGAATGGGGTCTGTTCAATAGAGACTCAGGCGTTAGATGGTATATTTAGTAGTCTGGCTTTTCTTGATAAACTATTTACCTCTAATTCATTGGATTCATCTGACCTCTGATTGAATTGGAGACTTTCAAAGGACTCCAGGCATTGTGCAAAATTCCTGAGCAATTCTTTCAGAGTGTAGCATGATGGAAATTCCATAGAGTCCCCATGCACTACTGCTGTCTATGCTAGAATAACCATTATCTGTCTGACCAGTGGGAAATGTGGGTCAATATTTCTATTAAATCTGCACATTTTACATTATGTTTATTTGTTTGGAAAATGTTAAATTACAGCCAGTATGTTGGCTTTCAGAAATTTGTTTTCGACACAGTTATCAAATTCTAACGCTGATGCCTGACTTCTAATGCAGATTCTGCAGCCGTGGAGGCAGAATCCAGATTGGCCTGAAAAGCATGTAGCATCACATTGTGGCATCAATCCCATTGTTTCACTTTCAAAATTTGCAGCAGTTGATGGAATTACATCATGCATTCTTCCAGCTAAGACTTAATGTGATCTTGCAGCGCCAAAGCAGATAGTACTAACAATCAGTGAAGCCATCTTCTCAACAGTTTTAGTGGCTGTGGGCACGATAGCCCAGTGATGCTCAAAATAACCAAAAGTGGCATGCTGTAGCCTAAGTGAAACAGAACACCAACATACATTTGGAAAATTGCGATCAAAATAAAGGTTCATAGAGTCGTAAGTTGTACAGCATGGAAACATACCCTTTGGTCCAACTCATCTGTGCCAACCAGACATCCTAAATTAGTCTAGTCACATTTGCCAACATTTGGCCCATATCTCTCTAAACCCTTCCTATTCATGTACCCATCCAGATGCCTTTTAAATGTTGTAATTGTACCAGCCTCCAGTATTTCCTCTGGCAGCTCATGCCATACATGCACCACCATCTGCGTGAAAATGTTGCCCCTCAGGTCCCTTTTACATCTTTCCCCTCTTACCTTAAACCTATGTCCTCTAGTTTTAGATTCCCTTGACTATTCACCCTATTCATGACTCTCATGATTTTATAAATCTCTTTCAGGTCACCCCTCAAACTCTGACACTCCAGGGAAAATAGTCCCAGCCTGTTCAGCCTCTCCCTATAGCTCAAATCCTCCAACCCCAGCAACATCCTTGTAAATCTTTTCTGCACCTTTTCAAATTGATTAGCAATATGAAACATAGCTTTCAGCACAGATTCTATGATTCATGGATTCGCTTAGATGGTCTGTCAATATACTTGCCTTTTTACATGTTACAACCCTTACCTGATATAGAAAGCTGATTACTTAGCAAGGGTAGGATTGTGGATATCTGTATCAGCAACTGTGCTTGGCTGGATCCTGTACTTTTACACTTTGGGTTAATTTTGCATTATCTGACCAAAACAGGCTTTCAGTCTGTTCTAATAGTTTTCTGACAGAATGTCCCTGTTGTTTAAACAACAATACTGGTCTCTCTTTTTAAAAGTCTACCCCTACTCCACATACCAGTAGTGCAATAGTTTTTGGTTACAGTTTATCAGAGGACCATCAAGATTATACAATCCCAAAGAACTTAAATTTTTTGGCTTAGTTTTGTCACCTTGAGTTTGCATTATTTAATCTTTTGTGCTGATGTCTCCTATGGATCTTAGAGGAAGCTAGCATGTGAAGGCTTTATCTGTACTTTTGTAATGTTCATTTCTGCTACTCAGGCATGTGTTTTTGCCCATGTACCTTAAAATGATTTCATGGCTAAACTAAGTAATGGTTTGAAAAACTTTGAACAAAAACATGATCACTAACATCCTATGACTTGTTTCAGGGCCTCTGAGAAGCACTAAATGCTGTTTGCCAGAGTGGAATGAGATAATTGATTATTCCCTTTCTCCTCCTGTAGGACTGTACAGTCTATGAAACCGAAAATAAGATTCTCCATGTGGTGAGTTGTTAAAATTCCATTTATTTGACTGGTGTAGGCTTGTCTTAGTTCAACAATTGTTTCATTTTGTTTCCCAATTTGATTAATGTATCTAAGTTTTCCAGATTCCATTGGGAACTTAGGAGCAGAGTGGAGCATTCAACTTCTTCAGCCTGTTTCCCCATTGAATTAATTCAAAGTGGATCCAGATCTCATTTCTATTTACACATTCTTGCCATATATCCCTGATATCCCCCACAAAAGGATCTATCTCAGCCTTGAAATGGGTCTAGGAGCCTTTCTGCTCCTCTGATGCTGCTTGGCCTGCTGCGTTCATCCAGCTCTACACCTTGTTATCTCTTGAAATTTTAGCTGTTCTAGCCTTCAGGGCGAGTACCAGGTTCTTGCTGCTCTATAACAAGAATATGCTTCTTTGGTTCTCAGGTGCGGAACTAAGAACATAAGTGTGGTTATCTCTTTTGATTTCAAAGTTCAAACATTTATGGTTGGGAATTATGCATGTTTTGGTATTGCCAGAGTGAAATATTTTGTTTTGATGTATATTTGCTCATCAAAGGGAGACATTTTAAGACCAAAAGTAAACAAATTTAGAGAACCCTGTCAGCATTCACCACTCAGCTCATGCATAACACGCCTAGTGCTTGGAATCCTCCGCCCCCTTTCAATGCAGCACTGAAACATTCAAAATACGTACTTGGTCATCTAGAATAATGATACCAATTACCAGTATTATCAAATCAATTGATCAGAATTGATTCAGTATCATTGCAGTTTTGAATGCAAAATAGATATTTTTAAATCTTCACTTTTTACATATATGTTGTACTCCTTCAATAGACAAGACGTTTTCTGCTGTTCTAATATATCATTGCAGTCAGCTTGTGCCTTTGTGCTATTGAAATAACACTTGAGGTTGGCTCCTTTGTCAGAGGCTAAGAGGAAATTCCTCTATAGAATCCACTGGAATTGGCACCCGATCCCACACTCCCATCAGCGCCAAGGCAGCTTCATTGTAGCATGACCACACTCATTGTTTACAGTAGTTGAAATGACAAGTTCTATTTTTACTATGGGGAGTGATTCTTCCCATTGCTGTCCTTTCTAATTAGGCCTTTTGTTATACGTTGACGGAGTAAATCAAATTTCATTTCACTGCATGAAACTTGTCAGAATTTTTGGCAATGTTTTGTGAACATTCTGAGATGTAGTCCATTGTTCTGACAAAACCGCAAATCAAACTGAGGATTTAAAAGCAAATTGGATTAAGAACTCCAAAGGTATCAAATTAAAGCACAGAACCTCAAAGGTAATAGTGTTGGGTTTGGTTCTCGAGGCTTGTGCCAATTGACATAGGATCGAATGCATTAGAGAATTAATTGTGTGGCTCAGACAGTGATGTACGATGAAGGGGTTTCAGTTGAAGGGGAACTTGCACCATTAGAAGGTAACAGAGGGAACTATTCCCTGTGGCTGGGTTCCAATTAAATGGGCTGGGGTAAGTGTTCTGGAGAATCCTATGCCTAGGGCTGTTGATAATGCTTTAAGCTAAATTGCAAAGCTGAGATCAAGTGAAGAAAGAAGTCAAAATTTAAAGAGAAAAGTGAAGGCAATTGCATTGTACAATGTGTGTAAAGAGAAGTGGTGATGGTGAGGGATGGGAGGTGGTGTTTAATCAAAATAGAGTTCATGCTGTGAAGTTGTTGAACCCAATGTTTAGTCTCAAAGGTTTGGAAAATGAAGCGGTGTTCTTCCAGCTTGCTTTGAGCTTTGTTGGAACACCATGGCAGATCCAGGATAGGAATACTACTGTGGGAGCAAAGTGGTTTATTGAAATGGCAAGTACCTGGAAGGTCAAGGTCATTCCTACAGACAGAGGAAGTGCTCTGCAAAGCAGTTACCCAGTCAGTGTTTGGTCTCACCATTGTAATGGAGACAGTACTGTGAGCAATGGATATAGTAGACTAAGATTGAAACAAATACAAGTGAAATGGTCTTCACCTGGAAGGTATGTGTGAGACCTTGGATAGTGAGGAGGGAGGTGGTGAATGGGCAAGTGTTACACCTTCTGTGATTGCATGGGAAGATGCCATAGGTGAGTGAAGAAGTGTTAGGAGTGACGCAGGAGTGGACCAGGGTGTCACAGAAGGAATAGTCCCTATAGAATGCTGACAGTGGAGGTGAGAGGAAGATTTCTTTGGTGTTAGCATCCTGCTTAAGGTTATGGATGTCATAGAGACTGATGAGGTGGAAAGTGAGGACAAGAGAACTCTATTATTGTTTTGGGAGGGAGGGGAAGGAATGATGGCAGAACTGCAGGAGATGGGTTAAACACAGCTGATAGCCTTGTGGGAGGGGGACAGAGTCTTCAGTTGAGGAAAAAGGAGAACATATCAGAGACATCCCAATGTAAGCTAGGGAAGCTAGGGAACTTGGGGAAATAAATAGCGATGGCTTGAAAGGAGTCCACGTTACAGAAGAGGAGGTGCTGGAGTTCTTAAAATGCATAAAGATAGATAAATTCCCAAGATCTATTCAAGTGCATCCCAGGATATTGTAGTCAGCTAGGGAAGAAATTATGGGTCCCCTAGCAGAGGAATTTGTGTCATCAATAGCCATGAGTGAGGTACTGGAGGGTGGCTAATGTGCCATTGTTTAAGACAGACTGTAAGGAAAAGCCAAGAACTATAGACTGGTGAGCCTGATGTCAGTGGTGGGTAGGTTCTTGGAAGTGTTTCTGAGAGACAGGATCTACATGCATTTGGAAAGGCAAGGACTGATGAGGGATAGTCAGCATGGCTTTGTGCATGGGAATCATGTCTCACTAACTTGATTGAGTTTTTTGAAGAGGTGGTCAAGAAGGTAGATGAAGGCAGAGCGGTAGATGTTGTCTACGTAGACTTTAGCAAGGCTTTCCAAAAGGTGCTGAATAGTAGACTGGTTAGTAAGGTTAGATCACAAAGGATCAAAGGAAGCTAGCCATTGGATACAGAATTGGCTTGACAGTAAGAGACAGACGATGACGGTAGAGTGTTGTTCAGATTGGAGGCCTGTGACCAGTGATGTGCAGTGAGGATCGGTGCTGGGTCCACTGTTGTTCATCATTTTATATGAATGTATATATGGATGAGAGTATAGGAGGCATGGTTAGTAAGCTTGTGGATGACCCCAAAATTGGTGGTATAGTGGACAGTGAAGAAGATTATCTAACAGTACAACAACCCACTATCTTGACCGACTGGGCCAATGGGCTGAGGATCGCAGATGGAGTCTAATTTAGATAAATTTGAAGTGTTGTATTTTTGTAAGACTAACCAGGGCAGGACATAGACAGTTAACGGTAGGGCCCTAGGGAGTGTTGTCGAACAGAAAGACTTAGGGATGCAGCTGCATAGTTCCTTGAAAGTGGCATCACAGGTAAGCAGGTTGGTGAACAAAGCATTTGGCGCACTTGCCTTCATCAATCAGAGCACCGAGTACAGGAGTTGGGATGTCACATTACAGCTGTATAAGATATCAGTAAGGCCACATTTGGAGTACTGCACACAACTTTGGTTGCCCTGCTCTAGGAAGAACGTTATAACTGGAAATGGTGCAGAAAAGACTTACAAGGATGTTACCGAGACTGGAGGGTTTGAGTTATAAGGTGAGGCTGGATAGGCAAAGAATTTTTATTTCCGTGGAGCGTGTGAGATTGTGGGTGATCTTATAGAGGTATATAAATCAGGATGAACATAGATAAGGTGAATAGCCAAGGTCTTTTCCGCAGGATAGTGGAGTCTAAAACTAGAGGGCATAGGTTTTAGGTGAGAGGGGAAAGAGATAAAAGGGATATGAGGGACAATTTTTCATGCAGAGGATGGTGCATGAATGGAATGAGCTGTCAGAAGAAGTGGGGAGGCTGGTACAATTACAACATTTAAAAGAGCTCTGGATGGATATATCAATAGGAAGAGTTTAGAGGGATGTGGACCAAATGCTGGCAAATGGGACTAGATTAATTTAGGATATCAGTTCGACATGGACGAGTTGCACCAATGGGTCTTTTTCCATGCTGTACAGCTCTATGACTATGAGTAAGGTTACTGTGCTGCAAGCATATGGACATATGACATTGCAGTGATAACAGAGATTGAACTCAAAACAATGTAAGAAACAGGATCAATATTTTTTGAGGGTTCTGGAATTTGGACAGAGAAAATCTGTTCCTGTTAGTGGGAGGATTGAGGAAAAGGAAAACCAGTTGAAAGTGGTTGGAAAAGAACCAACACTGACACGAGAGAAAAAGTCACTTTTTTCACATAGCAGGTTAGGATCTGGAATGTTGCCTGTGACAGATTCATTGTTTGGCTGGCGGATCAGATCCACTAATCAGGTATTTGGACTTTTGACCCAGAAATAGTCCTGCTATTGGGCCAGAGACTAAGGCCCAAAGTTTCGCCAAGACTGAGAAGATGTCCTTGAAATAAAGCCTGTTATATTGGATAGAATTCACGTTTAACAATACAGAAATTGCATCATTATTACTGATAAGTATAGCCGACCCTGAAAGGGGAATCTTTCATTTATTGAATATCACATTTCTTCACTGTAGTAAGAAATTACACACTCTTAAAACACATCATTTGAAGTTTGTTGGTGATATTTTGGTTTTTACCATAATCTGACATGTATCCCTCCAATAATTTATGGTACTATCTATAAAAATGTGAAGGGATTCAGTGGTTTGCACTTCCTGATTTGCTGTCCATGTGACACCTTCATGCATTTGGTTCCTTCTCCTGCTTGGTGATATGATCGCTGCTAGAAACCTGGAGAGCCCCTTAGCACCAGATTCACGGTAACACTGGACTAGGGAAAGTCCAGGCCACAGCAATCGGTAGAACTTCCTTCGAGCTCAGTGGTGAACATTGACTCTGTTTTGATGTTCTCTTTTTGATTTGTAAAACTTAGGAAACTGAAAGAACTACTGTATTTTTGGTTTCAGACCAGATGTGTGGAGATATAGTTTTTGTTTTTGGTGATTCCATTGTTCCCTTATTTCAGCAGAAGTGTGGAAAATGCAAATCATTTCTGATTCCAGTCAGTTCCCCTGCTCTAGCAAATGCTCCAAGATTATAGCATCGAGAGAATGACTGGAACTGTGCGGAGGCAACGGGGATACTAGCTGCCAACTGAAGTGTTGACAAGAGTCCCTGTGCCTCCCCTTTCTGAGAAAGCCCGCAGCACTTTGTTCCACCCAGGCATTTGGTTGGCCAGTGGTGGGCCTACCTTCAGGATCAAGGACCCCAGGGGCTGATGTCCCACCAGCCAATGAGAGGCCGCCTGATGTATTGAACAGCATCGCCACCGGGAGGCGATCGTCATTGCCGGTACTACACTCAACTGAGGTCCAGGATTGTTCAGGCCAGAACTGATTGATGACAAGAGGGGGATTAGGTTGCAGGTTACGACGTGGATCAGCAGCAAGCCCAGAGGGTTGGTTCTCTCAGTCGGCCTTCCCGATTCCAAGTCCCTCGATCAGGGAGCCTGCATGGATTTGCTTGTTATGCAACTTCCAGTGCTGACAGGACGAGGCTCTAAATACTCACTTAAGGGTCTCATTTGGCACTGGGCTGGGACGGAGATCGACAGGTCTTTCCAGCTCAGACATAATCAAAATGGAGTTAGGGAAATGATGAGATTGGTTAATATGATTAAATGCCCATTAATCATCAAACTTACCAGAGGGGAAGGTGCAACATTTCCCACATGTCTGTCCAAACTCATCTCAGTTCCTGCCATCCCAGCTTTCTAACACTGCACAATAATGGATCATAAATCCATAAATGGAAAGCATTAGTTTTGTTGTGTGCTCCTCCATTCTTCCGGAAAGATTATTGGAGTATCTGGTGAATGGAGCTGAGTGTTTGGCTCCTTCAATTTTGGTGCCATTGGGACTTTCAAAATGGACAATAAATCATGACAGTAGTTCATATAAAGTGCTGTTAATACCTCAAAGAAATAACATTTCTAGAGTACATGCTTTGTCCTTGTAGTGTCCAAAAGAGCAACAAATAACATTTGGAATGTATTCATGCGTTTCCTCAGCCAATGTGGCAAGTGGATTGTACACATCAGAGTTCCAAAATAAGAGGGTTAATAAGTTAATTTGTTTCATTATGCTGGTTGAATATTATTCTTCAAATAGCACCATGTGATCTTTAACATTCTCCTTATAGGGCAGACAATATTTTGTTTTCACCTCAGCTAAAGGAAAGCAACTCCAAAGTGTGATATTCACTCTTTTCCAAAAGCAGTCTCCCACTTTATGTCTTTCAAGTCCCTGATGTAGAGCTGAAACTCACAGCTTCTGGTTCTGCTGCAAGAATGTGACACCAGAGCCAAGGCTAATGTGCACACTGCAACATGAAATTGCACAATCTCTGTCGATGATATAAGTAGTGATAAGTCAAGTGAATTTCTCTTCTTCTGCCCCACATTCATTGACTTGCTGCTCGGTGGAAGAATACAGTTAAGCAGCACGTTGTCTTCTCTCTTAGCAGGGTCCCAAGTGATTTATATGCAATTAATTACTTTGAAATGTAATTGTTGTTGTTTGCTTGCCAAACGTGGCGACCAATTTGTTAACAACATCTTATGAAATAGTGATGATATGAACAAACAATGAATCTTTTTGGCTGTGGTGTTGAGTAAGGGTGAAATGTTGGCGTCAACACCACATTATTCAGAAAATGACAGAAGATTTTCTTTTGTGGGATATCCCGTATGATTCATTTAGGCTTGAGAACTGATTCTGATTCCGTTCATCCCTAATACAATTGGGAAGTCACTATTGTGTGTGTATGTGTTCTGGTGTCATTTATAAAAAGAACTGTGAAACATGTACAGAAAAATTGGACACCCTTTTTCTTGACAAGCTTCCAGTTTTGTGAAGTGTACGGATTGGGTGGTGATGTGAACATAATCTGTCAAAATAACCAATTCTTACATTATTTCAGAGGGAGGGGTGGCGATAACTGTCTCACTTTTTGATGAACAAAGCTGTATTGTAAATGAACAGTTCCATTGCCAGCAGAAATTTAAATACTGGATTCATTCATTCTGCAAAGTGTGACACGAGCCAGAGAAGAAACAGTTGCATTTAAATCTTCAACAAATTAACATTGCTGTGTCTGTGCTGACAGTTCGGCAATTACTGGACACACAGCAACATATAGGTAAAACAAAGTAATAAAATTGTAGATCAGACATGAAATTCAGGACTTACCTAAGAACGTGAGCCTGAAATGGTGATGAAATTGACTCAATTGGAAACACACAAAGCATAAAATACAGAGATAGTATGTATGATGATGGATTAACAGTGTCTCTCTTTCAGCATAATGTATTTTATGCTGCATGATTAATGACAAGCTTTCATTTGGTAACTATAAAAAGAACAATTGATGAAACGAAAAGGAAGCTCGCATTTATTTTTCACATTACTAACACCAGTCTTTGACTCTTTGATTACTTACAGTGTAAAACATTATCTGGGATCTGTGATCACATCATCTCACTGTCATCGGACTCCCTAGTGTCACAGTCTGCACACCTTGAAGTTGTCCACCTAACAAATGTCATGCCCAGTGAGGGCTTGGTAAGGACTTATTTCTTTCACATCATTGCCAATATTGCATAACCATGTGCAATAAACTCTCTGTTTACTGCAGCTTAGATTAATGCAGCCACCATTTGGTGATGGATCCTTGCAGCGGTATATTTTGTCTCCAATCTTCTGCTGTGTTGTAAACCTACACATTACCTATACAGGTAGGGCAAGGAGGTAGGTCCATAACCCAAGCTATACAGGATGGGAATCAACATCTGTGCTGCTGACATAGGCAATTCAGCCAAAACATTGGTGTCATGTCACTTTTACATGTTTGGAGCAACGTATGACAATTGCTCCAATTATTTACATAAAATGTGTGACCAGGAATCTCTCCTGCTCTTACTACCTGTTATTAGAAGGATTAGCAGATTGATCCTTGACCTGTGTGCCTGCTTTATAAATGCATGTTCCTTGACTGTCAAGTCCTGGGTGGTACTTGAACCTGGAGCTTCTGGTTCAGAGGCAGGCCGCTACCCTCTGTGACCCAAGACCTCTGTTAATTACTTCAAAGCCTTTATTTGATTCATTCCAATGTATTTGAATGTGATGGTGAAAAATCTTCACACATGCTGCAGCTGTATGAGACATTGGTGAGGCCCCATTTGGAGTACTAGGCGCAGTTCTGGTTGTCCTACTACAGAAAGGATATTATTAAACTAGAAAGTATGCAGAAAATATTTACTAGAATGCTACCTGGGCTGGAAGGTTTGAGTTATAAGGAGAGGCTGGATAGGCTGGGACTTCTGTCCCTTGAACGTAGGGGACTGAGGGGTGACCTGTAAAATCATGGGAGGCATAGGTAAGGTGGATAGCCAACAGCTTTTCCCCATTGTGGATTTAAGGTGAGGGGGGAGAGATACAATAGGGTCCAGCAAGGCAATTTTTTCCACACAGAGAGTGGTGAGTGTCTGGAATAGACTGCCAGAGGTAGTGCTGGAAGCAAGTACAATTTCGTCATTTAAGAAACATTTAGAGATGTACTCAGATGGGATAGGTATGGAGGGGCAGGGACCAAACACAGGCAAATGGGAATAGTTTGAATTGTGAAAACTGAGCAGCATGGGTAAGTTGAGCTGAATGGCATGTTTCCATGCTATAGACATGTATGACTCTATGACTTTATGCTCTCTAGGTTGGCCAAACTAGCAGGAAGGCTGTGTGAGAGTGTGCTGTGGTGGGCTTAACACCATATGAGAGCTCAATGTTCATCATTGATACTGAGACCTATTAGACCAGTTTGCACTCGACACTCTTTCCATATTTCTTAAGATGCAATCAGAAACTGATTTTCATTAATTAATTGCTTGCAGGTCTTCTCGGTCAGGGAATAATTGATGGATAAATCAAAGAAAAATAACTTTAAACTGTTTGAAATGTACTCTTTTGCACTAATGTTTTTGAGTCTCCATTTGCAAGAAATTTTCCTTATGCTGTTGAAAAGCCTGTAACTATACCACTCAAAACATCTTTTCTTCTCCTTGACCTGCCTTTGGTGCCTCCTGAACCTCTTGCCCCTTGCAGATTCTGCTGATTTGTAATGTTAAAAATTAAAGTTTGAAGTTAAACAAGAAATAGATCAGTTGGAGGCATGGGCAGAAAAATGGCAGATGGACTTTCGTCCAGTTGAGTGTGAGGTGATGCATTTTGGAAGGTCAAGTACAGGGGAAATTATACAGTGAATGGCACAACCCTACAGAGTATTGATATGCCGAGGAATCCGGGTCTACAGGCCAACAGATCACTGGAGGTGGCAGCGCAGGTAGGTAAGGTAGTTAAAAAAAGGCCTATCGCATGCTTGCCTTCATTGGAAGGGGCTTTGAGTACAAGGACAGGCAAGTTATGCTGCAGCTTTATAGAACTTTAGTTAAGCCACACTTGGAATATTGCATACAGTTCTGGTCACCACACTACTGGAAGGATGTGGATGCTTTGGAGAGAGTACAGAAAAGGTTTACCAGGATGTTGCCGAGTATGAGGGATTTTAGCTATGAAGAAAGGAATTCTGAGGAAGGGTCACCTGACCTGAAACGTTGACTCTGATTTTTTCCTTCACAGGTGCTGCCAGACCTGCTGAGTTTTTCCAACAACTTTGGTTTTTGTTGGATTTACTAGGTTTGTTTTCCCTGGAATACAGGAGGTTGAGGGGCGACCTGATAGAAGTTTATAAGATTGTGAATGGCATGGATAGAGTGGGTCAGGCCCAGGGTGGAGGGGTCAGTTACTATGGGCCACAAGTTCAAGGTGGGGGTTTTGGGGAGAAGTTTAAAAGAGATGTGCAAGGCATGTTTTTCACACAAAGGGTGGTAAGTGCCTGCAGCACGTGGCCAGAGGAGGTGGTGGAAGCAGACACAATAGCAGCGTTCAAGAAACACCTGGACGAATACATGAACAGGAAGGGAACAGAGGGATACGGATCCTGTAAGTGAAGACAGTTTTCATATGGAAGAGCAAAACGTCACGGTGCAGGCTTGGAGGGCCGAAGGGCCTGCTCCTGTGCTGTATTGTTCTTTGAATTTTGCCAATGTCAGCTTCTAAGAGCCCTCTCTTGCTTTCCTCTTGGGCCGTGAGATTGTCTGGTGGCAGATTGGACTGACTAGCAGAGAAGCTTCAAGGCCTTTCAAGCAGTGGGAGGTAAAACAATAACAGCTTGCATTTATGTTGTGCCTTCAGTAATGTAGAAAGAAAGCACAGTTGGCAGAATTCACAGAAATAGGGAAGGTTGAGGTCGGGATGGGATTTCAAAACAAGGTGCTGGGGGCCATGCAAGGAGGGCGGGGGGGTGGGTGAATTGGACAGTGGCATTTGGCGCAGGATCGTATAAAGGCTGCAGTTTTAGAATAATTACAAAGAATGAAAGGCTAATCAGGAGATTTAAAGAAAACTAAATCAGCAGCACAGTAAATTTCGCAGTAAAGATTGAGTGTGTCATAATACAGTCAGATGGTTGACAAAGCTGAAAATAATTGTCTGTACTATAAAGCTGATATGTGTTATAAAACAGAGTCTGAAAAAAAGCACACAAGGTTAATTTTCTGGAGAAGGGTCTCGACCCGAAATGTCATCTTTCCTGCTCCTCTGATGCTGCTTGGCCTGCTGTGTTCATCCAGCTCTACACCTTGTTAACACAAGGTTAATTAAATCTCTTTGAGTCATCGTGTTCATTTGTTATGTCTCATAGACTCGGAATAACCACTACACACTGTTTGGCCCCTCATGTCCATGCAAGCTCTCCGCAAAAGCACTTCAGTGAGTCCCACTCCTCCATCCATTCGCCCTGGCTTTACCAATCTTTTCTCTTCCACTGATTATCCACTTCCCTTGTGAAAGATGCGAGTAAATTCCCTCCAGCACAGTCTCCAGCAGGGTATTCCGAATGCCAGCCACCTGCTGCCTAGAAGTGTTGTCTTTATCATGTCATGTTTGGTCCTTTTGGCAAACACTTTAAATTGGTGTCCTTTGCTTACTGACTCATCTAACAATGGGAATGGACTCTTGCCCTCTAGACTGTCCAAGGCCTTCATTGCTTTGAAAAACTCTCTCAAATCCTTTCCCAGTCATCTTTAAGGAGAGCTTCTCCAATTTATCCATGGAGAATTTGTCTCTCGTCCTCTATACTATCACTTTAAGTCTTTTCTTCGCCCTCTCCCATGCCTTCATATCCTTGCTGAAGCAGAATTGGATCAGATATTCTGGTTGAAACTGAACCCAGTGTTTCATCAAGGTTTACTATCATCTCTTTGCTTTTGTAGGCTTTGTCTCCGTTGATAAATCCCAGAATCCTGTATGCCTCATAAAGTAGTTTCTCACCCAACACTGCCACGTTCAATATCTGTGCACTTGTAATCTAAGGTCCCTTTGCTCATGCGTCCCCTTTAGATTTCAATCCTTTGTATTGCCTTTGCTCATTCTTCCTGCAAAAAAAAATCACATTGCAGTTCTCTGCATTAAGTTTCATCTGTCACATCTACCCATTCCACCAACCTTTGTCCTCTATCACCATTTCCCCCAAACCCGCAGCACCACACCAAGGTTTCAGGTTTTATGTTTCATGTTTCATGTCATCTGTAAACTTCAAAATTGTGCTCTTCGCACCTAAGCCTAGGTCATTCATGCAGATTAAGTAAAGCAATGCTCCTAATAGTAATGCCTGGAGAACCCCATGATGTACCACTATAAAAAAAATCACATTCACCACTACTTTTCACTTAATCAATTTTATAATCGTATTGTCACTTTCCCTGTTATTCCATTGCACTTCGAATAATACTGGGAGGCATTTATCATATGCGTTCTGTAAGTCAATGTACACTATATCAACTTCATTACCCTCACCGACTCTTTCTGTTAAATGGCCAAAAAGCTCATTCCAATTGGTTAAACATCAGTGGTCCTCAGTGAATCAATTCTTTCCTTAGTTATTCCACATTTGTCCATATTGTCCTGGATTATTGTTTCTCAAAGCGAGTTCTCATGACGCAAGTTAAGCTGACTTCCCTTTAGTTATTGGGCTTAACCTTTCACCCTTTTCAGGTCAGGGTGAAAAATGTGCAGTTTTCCTATCCTCTGGCACAAGGGCAAAATTGAAGAGTCAATGTCTACAAAGAACAACAGGCATGTCCTTCCACTGGATAGAGACAGTTAGTTATGTATAGCTTGAAGGTATCCACTGCATTCTTGTGGGGTAAGGTGAAGAGACAAGCCACAATGAACTAATATAACTGATACAGGGATTGAACCCACACTGTTGGTCTTATTCATCACCATCATTGGTGGTCCCTTAGAATCAAGGGTGACATCTGTCACACTGCTTGAGTCTTTGGCTCTGAAAAAGAACCACACGGGACTCAAAATGATAACTCCGTTTCTCTGTCCACAGGTGCTGCCAAAGAGTGTTGGTCATCGGTGGGTCTTAGGATGCCTGAAGAGGTCAATTTTGGATCCACAAGTTTTTCCACAGTGGGACGAAGGTTTGGGTGGAGGGTGGG